GCTACAGGCTAACCACAAGTGTTCATTTGTTAGCTCAAATCTTGTTAGCTACAGGCTAACCACAAGTGTTCATTTGTTAGCTCAAATCTTGTTAGCTACAGGCTAACCACAAGTACTCTTTTGTTAGTTCAAATCTTTTTAGCTACAGGCTAACCACAAGTACTCTTTTGTTAGCTCAAATCTCGTTAGCTTCGGGCTAACCACAAGTGTTCTTTTGTTAGCTCAAATCTTTTTAGCTACAGGCTAACCACAAGTGTTCATTTGTTAGCTCAAATCTTTTTAGCTACGGGCTAACCACAAGTGTTCTTTTGTTAGCTCAAATCTCGTTCGCTTCGGGCTAACCACAAGTGTTCTTTTGTTAGCTCAAATCTCGTTCGCTTCGGGCTAACCTTTAGTAACTCAAACACTGAACTTTATTGTGAGATGATGTTTTTAAACAGTTCTGGAGGGACACTTGTTTTAGACACAGGTTAAATTTATYTTAAATCTTAAACCACCTGATATGAAATATATGTTTAGTTATTTACAGCTAGTTTTCTTGGATGAGTTGTTTTAAATTTAACTGCAGTATAAATCAGTTTTATTACCAGGTAAAGTTGGAGCTCTATCTTGTGAAAGTCTCCCTCTGGACGAGCCTCGGCTGTTATTTTACTCTGAAAAGGAGGGAAACAGGAAGTGATTGATGGCTGCGCTGACAGCAGAACCTGGCGGTCGGTGCCGGGGGTTCTCCTCACTCCCACACTCTCATCATTTATTCAGGCCGACCCGTTGAGAGTCGTGGATGTTCTGGTAAACAGACYTTATCCTGCACTCATCAGACAGCAGGTGAGCTCACACCTTGGCCAGCCCCTGCGTTTCTCACTGGGAGACCCCCTGAGTGTGCGTCATTTATCTCCGGTTCCTGCAGTGTTTTTGTTTCATCCTCTGGAGTCACATGAAACATTAATGTGTGTCAGTTTATCAGATGAACATTTGTTAACTTAATGGACCGTGTTATTAAACGTCACAAAATGATTTTTCTACTTTGGTTTTAGGTTTTATCTCTTGGTTTAATTAGATTAAACTGGTTACTTCTGCTGCTTTGGTGCCATTCTCTCTGGTATTCTTGGTTTTTGTCGCCTCTGAACCTTCATGGCTTCATTGATGAACTCATGAATTTACTCCTCAGACAGTTCATCCATGCAGAAATTCTTATATTTTTGGTATTCACGACGATTTAAATGGATTTATGTAATAAGAAACACCATTAGCCATAAAATTACAGGATGGACTCGATTATCTCAGGTGTGTTTGTACTCTGAAGACCCCGAACTCAAACGTATCTTACAGCTTTACAGTAAACGACACGTTTTATTGAAGGGTTTTCTGAAGCACTGATTCACTGATTTAATGATTCATTGATTCACCGATTTATTGATTTACTGATTCACTGATTTATTGATTTACTGATTTAATGATTTACTGATTCATTGATTTAATGATTCACTGATTTAATGATTTAATGATTCAATGATTTACCGATTTACTGATTCACCGATTTATTGATTTAATGATTCACTGATTTAATAATTTACTGAATCATTGATTTAATGATTCAATGATTTACCGATTCATTGATTTACTGATTTAATGATTTACTGATTCACGGATTTAATAATTTACTGATTCATTGATTCACTGATTTAATGATTTATTGATTCACTGATTTATTGATTTACTGATTTATTGATTCACTGATTTAATGATTTATTGATTCACTGATTTAATGAATCACTGATTTAATGATTTACTGATTCACTGATTTAATGATTCACTGATTTAATGAATCACTGATTTAATGATTTACTGATTCACTGATTTAATGATTCACTGATTTAATGAATCACTGATTTAATGATTCACTGATTCACCGATTTATTGATTCACTGATTTAATGAATCACTGATTTAATGATTTAATGATTCACTGATTTAATAATTCACTGATTTAACAATTCACCGATTCATTGATTTTATGATTCACAGATTTACTGATTCACTGATTAAATGATTTACTGATTCACCAATTTACTGATTCATTGATTCATAGATTTACTGATTCACCAATTTACTGATTCACTGATTCATAGATTTACTGATTCACCAATTTACTGATTCACTGATTCATAGATTTACTGATTCACTGATTAAATGATTTACTGATTCACCAATTTACTGATTCACTGATTCATTGATTTACTGATTCACCAATTTACTGATTCACTGATTCATAGATTCACTGATTCAACACAAGAGATCTTCAGAAAACATTCCAACATCCTTCTACCAATTTACCCACTGTCCCTCCTCTGGAAATGTCCAAATCACACCACTCTGTCCTCATGTACGTCCTGTGACAGTCTGTCTCATCCTGTGACAGTCTGTCCTCATCCTGTGACAGTCTGTCTCATCCTGTGATAGTCTGTCTCATCCTGTGACAGTCTGTCTCATCCTGTGACAGTCTGTCTCATCCTGTGACAGTCTGTCTCATCGTGTGATAGTCTGTCTCATCCTGTGACAGTCTGTCTCATCGTGTGATAGTCTGTCCTCATCCTGTGACAGTCTGTCTCATCCTGTGACAGTCTGTCCACATCCTGTGACAGTCTGTCCTCATCCTGTGACAGTCTGTCCTCATCCTGTGACAGTCTGTCTCATCCTGTGATAGTCTGTCCTTATCCTGTGACAGTCTGTCCTCATCCTGTGACAGTCTGTCTCATCCTGTGACAGTCTGTCCTCATCCTGTGACAGTCTGTCCTCATCCTGTGACAGTCTGTCCTCATCCTGTGACAGTCTAACATGACCTGCTGTCCTCAGTGTCTCCTGACATTTAAAAACGATCAGCTCAGGTTAATCTCTCTCAGGTTTGGGTTAAACAACACATTTTTGAAACGACTGTATCAACAGGAAGAAGCTCCACCAGGTGTCCTGACAACGTTCAGTCCATCCGAGCTCATTTTTAATTTCCTCTCATCGTTTCAGAACACGATTAAAGTTTATTGGTCACAAAATCAAAGTGAAATGATCGAGTCAGAGGAATAAAACCTGGATTACTGAATTAGTTTTTCCAACAAACGTTGCAATTTGAGCCTTTCTTTAGAGCAGATTAGCAGCTTAGAGTCTGTGTTAATTAGCAGCGAGTCAACCACAGACTCTTCTGTCATGAAGGAGCTTTTGAAAGTCTGTCTCTGTGACGGTGTTGGAGGGTGATGCTTCCATCCTGACTGGACAAACGTCTGTAAACACCTTTATAATAGAGTCACTTCTCAAACAGACAACCAGGACCAGATCAGGAGCAGTGAATCCATCTGTGGAGCCAGGCTCTGGTAGTGACTGTTGGTGAGGCTGCACCTCCTCTGTGGTCGGGGTAAATACACGGCTCAGATAAGAGCTCTTCATTACAGACGGCTGCAGGCGATGCAACACGGTGTCCGCGGCGTGGCTCGTGTGATGGAGCGTGATGGAGCGACGCTGAGTGGGAGGAGGGGGGAGGGAAACCGTCTTGAAGGGAGGCAAATGGGACGGATGACAAATGGAGAGCCACGTTTCGCTGTCCCCCCCGAAGCAAACACCACCTGAGTTATGCCCCCTCACTTCCCACCGTTATCTCTGCGAACCACCGGGATGTAAATATAAAACTGTTATTATTAAAAATGTGCAGCTCGGCTCGGCGGGGATGATCTCAGACTCTGCATCGGCCCACTCACTCGGGGGGTAAAAGAGAAAAGCTGGGCTGAAAGTTTGTGTGTCGGAGCGTGGGCGGGTGTTAATCTGGTATTTATAGTTTTCTTTGGCATTTCCAGTTGATCCAATAA